ACTAATCAAATCTGTGCATATGTTCAGAGCATCTATGTACCAAGTTTCATCAAAATCCAATGAGTGGTTCTTTAGATATCAGTGGAACAGTCATAGAACAGCTAAAAATTAGCTAATTATCATGCAAATTAGGTAATTAACGAGCATGGATTTTTACCAAAACCTAATCAAATCTGCGCATTGGCCCAGAGCATCTATGCACCAAGTTTCATCAAAAAACGATGTATGGTTCTTGAGATAGCAGTGGAACAGTCGGACACACATACACACATACACACACATACACACACACACACACACACACACACACATACACACACACACACACACACACACACACATACAGAACTACTAACTGCAGAGACTCCCATTTTGTGCTTCGCACATGGGAGTCAACCAGGTAATATTCACTTATAAAACCAGGCAATATTCACTTATAAAACTAGGCAAAATTCACTTGTAAAACCAGGCAATATCTACTTATAAAACCAGGCAATATTCACTTATAAAACCAGTAAGTATTCCCTTATAAAACAAAGCAATATTTACTCATAAAAACAAGGCAATATTCACTTACTTGGCATTCTGAGGATTAAATGGATATATAGCCTTGGCATTGGCTTTCAACTGAAAATATAAAGTACATTATACCTAAGTAACTCTGCACTCTACACACACTACACAAATTGAAGACAATGAAAAGTGTAAACGTAAACTATATATGAAATGTAACAATTAATTTTTTGCAGCATTTATTCATATTAGCCATCAATATTATGCAATAATCATTCATATAAGGCAAACATTAATGCATAATAGGCATGTAATTATCCATATAAGGCATATATTATTCCATATTTGGGCATTTATGCTTTGGGATAAACAAGAGATGTGAAAACAGGCACAATATTATCACATCTACAATTGTACCTACAGCAGGGTTATACTATGTATAGGGAATGGGGGTGGAAGGTATACACAGACATACAACAACACAATAAAAAACAACTATGTGACATACACAAACACATACCAAACATCTGACACTGTTAGGACATTTATTATGATCACATGCATTGTAATGGTTGTCGATAACTATATCACTATCCAATATACCAAATACCCATGATGCATTGCACTGTGGTATTATTATTAACGATTTTTTTACAAAATGCACACCACGTATGTTGCAGCGCATTGTACAAAAAAAAGTTTAACATTACAATATGTAATGATTATTTAAAAGGTAAGTTTTAAAATTTTGTTTAAAAATGTCAGTACTCCTAACATTACGAATACCAACTGTTTCCCCAATAATGGCATGCAAGCAGAAAAAGCTTGTTGACCATACGATTCATTGAAACTTCTCAACTTCTCTGGTTTAGACTGATCCAGAGTAGGTGTCATAAAAAGTAGCCTTCAATGTTATGTGTCTATGAAAAGAAATGCTATCAATTTATCAACTTCTTAAACAGCGCCCCCTAGCAATTAGTGAGCTCCCCATGTGGTAGTGACATTTTGGGATGATGCAATAAACACATGGTAAAAACTTTGAATTTGGTAAAGTCACAGGCTCACAGTGGATCAGAGGTATAATAAGTCAGAACTTCAAGGTCAGACAGTAAAGGTCAATCACCAGTTACCATGGTCAGAAGGCACAGAAGGTCAGAAAGTACAATGGGTTGGTGTGTACTGAAGATCAGAGGGTACCATAATGTACAAAGGGTACTATTGGTCAGAAGGTACAATGGGTCGGTGTGTAGTGAAGATCAGAAGGTACCATAACTCAAAGGGTACAATGGGTCAGTG